AAAACAAAACACCACATCAGATGCTGATTGAGTTCTGAGCTTATAACAGCACTAAAAAGAAGAAAACAGTCATTCATGCTTTACTTTCTTAGAAAGTTTAGATACACATATGAGATATGTGTAATAGAAATTCATATATACGCAATATAAATATATCAATGTGTAACAGAAATAAATACACGTGTACATGTGTATTGCAAACACAATTTTAAAAGATATTTTCTACCTCGATCACTGCAGATCTATTTTCCGGTTAGAGCAGCCCAAACTCAGGTCAGACTTACCTCCTTATCATTTCAATTCAACAAGGGAAATGTCACGATTTGATTTCCTCCACCGTGGCGATGAAGGAAAGTGACTTGCTATCTACCCGTATCCTGCCAGCGACCCCAGCCCACCTAAAATGAGGTGTGGGTCCCAACCTGCCACCCTCATTTCTCCCTGCAGGTCCTCGTCCCACGCGAGACACTAAACCCTGGCCACACACCTTGCCCTGCCGGACCCGTCACAACAACCACGGCCCCTTCTAACTTCCGAGAGCAGCAGATGCAACCAAAGCCCGCGATGCTCCTACCTGTCCACCAGTTTCTTGGCGAACCCGAAGTCCGTGAGCTTGATGTGACCGTCTCTGTCCAGCAGTATGTTCTCCGGCTTCAGGTCCCTGTAGACGATCTCCTTGGCGTGCAGGTACTCGATGGCGCACACGATCTCCGCGGAGTAGAAGAGCCCAGTGGCCGTGGCGAAGCGGCCCCTGTTCCGCAGGTAGCTGAAGAGCTCGCCACCCGGCACGAACTCCATCAGCATGTAGAGGGAACGCTCGTCGTGGCTGGTCCAGAACCTGCGGGGACCAGCACAGGCTTGGGGGCCCCGCCAGAGACGGGCGAGAAGACACGCGTTTCATACGTGTTAGTACACGGGTACAGACAGACGAGAAGTGTATACAGGTAGACGTTCGGATACAAGTTACAGAGATGATGTCTCAGTCCGTTCAGGCTGTTGGAACAGAATATCGTAGCCTGGGCGGCTTATAAACAGCAGGCATTCATTGCTCCCAGCCCTGGAGGCTGGAAGTCCCAGATCCCGGCATGGCAGAGGCTGTGTCTGGTGGGGACTCACTTCCTGGTTCATAGACGGCGCCTTCTCGCTGTGTCCTCACATGGTCGAAGGGACGAGGGAGCTCCCTGGGGTCCCTTTTATAAGGACACTGATCCCGTCCATGAGGCTGCACCCTCAGGACCTCGTCACCTCCCAAAGCCCCCACCTGACACCATCACCTTGGGGGTGAGGGTTTCAATATACGAATTTGTGGGGTGACATACTCAGATGACAACTGATGTTTATGTCCTATTAAACAGTCTTGGAATGAATGAAGAGCAAATATAATGTTTTGGTAATAAACCAGTTAACAGTCTGTTATAGGACGATTTATGGCACCCCCGGCCAATATTCATATGTTGAAGTACCAACCTTCAGTACCCCAGAATGTGGCTGTTTATTTGGATATAGTACATTTAAAAAGGTAATTTAGTTAAAATGAGGTTATAAGGGCTGATCCTAATTCAGTAGGACTGGAGTCCTTATAAGCAGAGGAGATGAGGACACAGACACGCACAGAGGGACGACTCCGTGAGGACACAGGGAGAAGACGGCGTCTACACGCCCAGGAGAGAGGACTCAGGAGGAACCAGCCCTGAGACACCTGGATCTGGGACTTCCAGCCTGTAGAACTGTAAGAAAATAGACATCTGTTGTTTAAGCCACTGAGTCCCCGTGACTTCGTTACGGCGGCCCTCGCAAACTCGCATGCGGCACCCAGATCTTAAGAGATCACAGCTGCTTCAGCGCCTCCCGAACTGTCATTGAGCTTAGAAATTAACAAATAAATGAGCAGAAAGCATCCCAAACCTGCTGGGAAAACGCAGCCGTTCAAAAAGCCCCCAAAAAGGTTATTTCTAAGCAACTACTGGTAGGAGCTTGCCCAAGAGATAGTTAGACGCAGTGCCTCCTCCTTGGAGAGGTGTTGATTAGCTCTACCAAGGCGAGAAAGGCAGCGGGAGGAATTGAGGAGGAAAGGGAAGAAATGAAAGAAAGAGGAGAGAAGATGGCAGGTCTTGTCTGTTTCTTAGAAGGCTTAGCAAAAGGAACAGAAACAGACACGTTCTTGGGAGACAAGCGCTGATGATGAAAGAATGTTTTCACGTAAAAAAGACGCAGGGAAAAATCAGACAAGATTTGGAATTAACGGCTTTGAGCTTTGAGAGGCCTTAGAAGGCCCCAGCGTGCCCAAGACCTAGACATCCCGGCGCGAGACACACGCGTCCCTGCGTTTTGTTTGATTCTGACCACACGACAGACGCTTCCCCTCCGGGGCTGACCCCAAGGAGCTGCGTCTACATGGTCCCCAAAGAAAACCAAACAGTGCCGGGAGCATGCTCAGGGTTGAGCAGAAGGTCTTGTCTCCGAGCTCAGCTCATTTCCCTAAAATAACGTCACGTGATGACCCAGGATTTGGGGAAATGGCTCGCAAGGACGCAGAGACTTACTCAGAGGGAAATCGTAAAAGTATGATCACGTGGCGTGGTCAGGAAAGCAGGAGAAAATAAAGGCAAGTAAAAAGATACGGCTGTAGGGAGGAAGGATGACCCAGTCGTAATCAATGTGAAAAGGAAAACCACATATAAACACGGTATTCTGAATTTCAAATGCACACTGAAGTTACTCAGTGTTCATATGTCTTAGCGAAATACGGGTCTCCTACACAAAAGGCTTTCCCCTAATGCACATTTAAATTTGCAGTCTTTGCAAAAACAATGCATTTAAAGGTCTCAGCTACGCATAGATAGAGGCTGTATCGACACCTTCCTTTCTCGATACCGTGGTTGGACTCCCGCCGCCCTGCAGCGGAGGCTGCCTGCTCTTTGAAGGGAGCTCTGGGGTTAGGCGACGCCTTTCTTTTCTTACCTGAAGGCTCTGTGTCTCTCTATCCCGCTCACTTCTTACGGCTCAGCAAGTCTAAGATTTATAGCTTTGGCCATAAGGGAAGAGCGCTCGGGTGAGAGGGGTGGTCTGTTGCTGCCGTTACTCTCTGAAGCAAGCTCCTACAGTTACGAAGTCCCAGCAGACACCGCACGGCTTCTGTCTTAAAGCTGAGATCTCCAGTCACTGCTTTTGGCCAAATGCTCCATCTTAGTGGTTTGTGCCATGACTAGTTGGGCAAGAGTGTTACTTTTCGTAACGCTGCCTTGCCAAGCACACGGTATTTCAAATGCATGATGGTCAAACTGTGCTTCTGTGCGTGGGCTTAGAACCCACCACGCTTCACTGCTCTGGTGGGGAAATATTAGTGTGTGCTAAGGTCCCAGTGATATCTGCCTGGTGAACGTTTACCATCAACGTCTGGAAGCTGGTGACTTTCTAGAGTTCTTCAGGGCAGCGATGATGGCAAATTTAGCTAGAATTCACCAGCGAAAATGTGACGTCATAAGACTTGGGGGAAGCATGGTGCTCTTTTTTTTATTTCAGAATATTACAGGGTTACACATGTTTGGGTACATAATTTGCTTTTGTACAATTTGAGTCAAAGTTATAAAGTGTGCCCTTCACCCAGATAGCACAACCTCTGTGGAAAGCAGTATGGAGACACCTCAAAGAACTACAAGGAGAACTACCATTGGATCCATCAATCCCACTACTGGGTTATCTACCCAAAGGAAAAAAAGGCATTCTATAAAAAAGATATCTGGACCTGAATGGTTATAGCAGCACAATTCACAATTGCAAAGACGCAGAAACAACCCAAGCGCCCATCAATCCATGAGGGGATTAATAAAACATGGTATGTGTATACCATGGAGCACTACTCAGCCATAAAAAAAAAAAAAAAAAAAAAGGCAATCTAGTATCTTTTGTAACAACCTGGATGGAACTGGAGACCATTCCTCCAAGTGAAGTCTCAGAAGCATGGAGTTCTTGAAAATACCCTCAATGGTCAAAACCATGCAAAGCAAGAACAAAACCACTGTCTACAGCTGTCGGTTTGGTGAAAGAGAACACACACAGCCCTGTCTCTCTCTGAGGCTCAGACACACAAGTGACACACACATGCAGGAGCACACACACTCATCACTTACTATGTAGCACACACTCCTTGGATATATCCCTCACCCACTCCCGTCTTCCCAGCACCAGGGTAATAACGTGCCCTGATGCCGTTAGAAACAATGCATCCCGCTGTTACAACACAGCCAGGGTGGCCCTGCAGGTCCATGAGAGATGATTGGCTCTGGAGGGAGATTAGAAGGATTTGAACTTTCAGGACTGGGCGGGTCTGTGGAATACGCCAGCCCCGAAGAGTCTGGGTGGAGACCAAGAGATTCAGGCAGCTGCAGGGATCAGCTGGAGATCTCGGATTCAGCCACCTGGGCTCGGGGGGAAGTTCCAGTTTCACTCATGGGTAAGTTGGTCCAAGGAGGAAGAGAGTTGGCGCTTCGTGTCAAAAGAGGGAAGGAAAGGAGATGAAACCAAAGAAAACAAAACAAAGCAAAACCAGAAAAAGAAAAGAAAAGAAAAAGTGGAGTAGGGAGAAGTACCCAGATATACAAGGATGCCTAAAGATAGGTTTTTTTCCACCGGCATCTCAGTAAAATCCAACAAGACATCAACAAACCCTAATGCTCAAGAAAGCCACCTAATCATTATAGCTGGACACATCATTTTTACTTACACACTAATGCGCAGCCACTCAGCAGCAACACGGAGTAGTAACATTTTGCAAATAAAAGCACCCCATAGCGAGGAAAAACATATTAGTACATATTAAACAAAAAAAGAACAAAAATCTGTAAGACTCCAGTTTCCCTGCCATTTTCCAAATCACTGAAGTTAAATAAATATCCCAAGGGGAAAAAAAAGTCCTCCAACGCCACGGTCCCCAACCCCCAGGGTGTGGACCTGTATCAGTTTGCGGCCTGTTAGGAGCTGGGCTGCACAGCAGGAGGTGAGCGAGCGAAGCTTCATCCGTAGTTACAGCCGCTCCCCATCACTCGCATCACCGCCTGAGCTCCGCCTCCTGTCAGACCAGTGGCGGCATTCGATTCTGCATTACGGTGAGCTGTATAATCATCTCATTCTATGTTGCAATGTAAAAATAATAGAAATAAAGTGCACAATAAATGTAATGCACTTGAATCATCCCGAAACCATCCCCCCACCTTCCTGGTATGTGGAAAAAAATTGTCTTCCATGAAACCGGTCCCTGGTGCCAAAAAGGTTGGGGATGGCTCATCTAGCACATCTTTCAAATCTCCATCTATAACACTTTTCTTACATGGACAGAATTTGTAAACAGCTGGGTATCGTTAAAGATTAGGATCAAAATGTTGGAAGAGATACTGAGTTTACAATCCCCCCAGGGAAGTTTATAAAGTGAAGTCACCATGTTGGA